AGAGGGTACGATCCCTGCTTTTACTACTAAACAATGTGAGGCAGCAGAAGTCCAGCACTGGCCTTGAATAAAGCAACTCTCTCATAACATTTGTGTTTTTTATAAAACAGTCTTAAAGTGTAAGAGCATACTGTATAGTCTACACATGATATGTGACTTTTATTTCAATATGAGAAATATCATGGTAGTTTTAAAACCAGAGAGGGTTAGCAGCTCTCTCCTTAACCACTGCCTTAGTGTACCTAGGCAGGTCATTTGTTCATTATAGGAGTGTGTTACAGTACAATGTCTACCATAATTTAGTGTCAAGCATAAGCATTTAGTGCTTAGGATAAATAGTTCTAATCTGAAATTGAAAACAAAGAAAGTAAATGCCATTGTCACTACTGAGCCCTTAAGAGAACACTGTGCCTTTCTCTGTAGCTAAAGAAGAGTAGAAGCTTACAGGTATCCAGAGCACTGCTGTACCCGAAGGTTAAAAAGGGAGTCCTGTAACTGTTGAAACCTTTTCTCATCAACAGTTCCATTATCAAACAAAAGGGGAAAATATCCTCTTGATGCTGGAGAAGACAATGCTACTCTGACCTCCTGCCCACGTACTTCATACAGCCTAGCCCCGAATTAAACACTTCCTGGTTATATTTAGGAACTTCTACAATGTGAATTAAGTAACCTGTATGCTTTAGATGAAGAGTTCAGAGTATTACACAAAAATAAATACTGTCTGAACACAGATCAGATCTCTCTGTATGATATACTGTGGTATATTTATGCCTTAAGGTAACACCTAAACAAAGGCAAAGTTGATTCATCAGCAGCATAGGTTACTGTTTTGGGTGGACATATGGAGAGGAAGATGACCCCAGAAACACAATTTCTTTTAATGGCCCTCCTTGTCTCAGATTTTTTAGTCTCTGAAAGGCACAGGATCATGGAACGCTTGTTTCCATGTATGGGTATTTTATAAGTGTGAGAAAACAAAGCATTTTTATTTCAAAGTATAGAATAAGAACCTCTTCTTTCCTTTCAAAGTCTCAAATATGGATATGTTTACATCTACCTCTAAAGTACATTGCCACACTCTATACAGCATTTGAATTGACACCGGAAAACAAAGTGTGTTTTATCTATAACCAAATATACCTTATGCTTAGAATAGTAACTCTTTCAGGAAATAACTTTCAAATTATGTCAGTTTTGTGAGCTGATCTTAAGCTTTATTTCCTGTCCCTTCAACTTCTCTTTTCATCCTTCTAGATTTACATTTTTTATGGCACTCGGTCAAACGCTGAATTTGTGATCCACAGTGGGTTTTTTTTTGATAATAATTCACATGACAGAGTGAAAATAAAGCTTGGCGTGAGTAAAAGTGACAGGCTGTATGCTATGAAGGCAGAGGTCTTAGCTCGTGCTGGTATCCCCACGTAAGTAAAACACAATGCCTTGGGTTTTTTAAAACATTTCCAAAGTACATAGCATCCAGTAAATCACGTATAAAGCTGTTCTGTGATAGTTTTATTGGGTGTAATATTTCTCCTGTTTGTATAGCAAATTATAGTTATTGTAATAACATTTACAGAAGTTCTCTGAGCTATATTATCATCTAATTTGGACCACATATAAGGGAAAAAGCCTTTGCTTTAATAACCATTTGAACAAAAACAGAGTAAGGATTAATTTAAAGCAATCTGTGGGTTTTCTTTCTTTCCTATCCCTTGCAGACATGCTATGATGCTCAGTATGCGAACCACAGCATTTTCCTTTAGTCTTTTCAGTCTAGAGGGTACTGTTAGGAGCAGCAGACGTGAAACATTGCATTTTCATGAATGTATTATAAAAGCCGTATAAATATAATTGTAAGTGTAAAATTGTAGAGATAATTGTTCTTTTCAGACACAGGTTAGGGAAGCTTTTTTTCAGTTAGAACTAGTATTACTTAATTTTTTAAAAGTTACTTTTATAACAGTGCATTTGTTGTATACTTGTAAGGTGTTTTATGTTGAAATGAGTTCAAAGGTATGACAATAGAGCTCACATTTAGTGTTGTTGTTTGTTTCTTTTATTAGTTCTAGTGTTTTTGCCTTGCACTCCACTGAGCCTCCAATCTCTGCCCAGCTTTTGGCTTTCCTTCGAGTGTTTTGTATGAGCGAAGGTAAGATGTTTTATAAAGATACCCAAACCAAATGTTAATTAGGTTATGTTTGGGGGTTAGTTGTTTGTTTGTTGTTGGCATTGTGCTCTTTGGGGTTTTTTTAATGCAGGAATGTGATGGGCATTTATAGAAAATGTGAAGCTGGAAGACTGAAAAGGTTGAGGAGTTGAGTTTATATAGGGATCTATAAACCAGTGAGAAACTCAATCTTTTGCCATGTTGCCTGCAGGACTATTTCAGTAACATAGGGTAACACAGGCTGCTCTGGAACTCCTAAAGCATGAGCCGAAACACTTTTTTTATGGTTTGTTTGGTATTTTTTTTAATCTCCCGGGCTGTTATGAATGAGTGAGCTTAGGAGCCTGATCTTTGGTTCTTAGGTTAAAAAATGATTCACAGAACAAGAATATGTGGGACCTGGGGGTTTACATGCTTAAAATGATAGCATATTAGCCGTCACTGCTAGAATCACTTAGGTATGGTATTGTAATGTTCTGTACTGTAGGAGAAATGTGAAAGAGACATTTCAAAGATTGGTATTTTAAATATTTTTGTTAATTCATAAGCTAAAACCAGCTTACATATTTGCAAACTGTTCTTGTAGTGTTTCTCTTATGTTAGGGGTTCTTGGAGGAATATGTGTACAATTAAATATTCACATAATTTGTGCATGTGAAACTTGATTAAATGTTTGTAATAGCTGCTTGCTGGTTAGGTGCAGTTTTGGAGGTTATAGATGTGATAGTGTTTCCTGACAGTGAATTTCCTTGCAGTTAGGGATGCTGTGCACATGACGTGGATTTTAATACCAGAAGCATACTTAATTTGTTAGGGTTTTGCATGTGCTCTATTTGCTGTCTTTAACAAAAACAACTTAACTTGTTTAGTTTCATGCCTTCACTGCGTCCTGTCATCCATCTTTTAGAACATAGTAAGAAACTGGAATAGAACAGTTAGTTGGAAGGGACCTACAGCAATCATCTAGTCCAACTGCCTGACCACTTCAGGACAGTAACTTCAAGTAAAGAAAATTTTAGGATGCTGATGAGGGGTGACTTCTGGCTCGGAGAAGAAAATGTAGCTAGTGGACAGTTTAATTGCATTGCTCTGATGTGAATAAGCTGAGCACAATCATATATGTCTTAAATACTGTAGGAGAAAACTGTTTGTTGAGAAACTACATGCAAGTGGTTTGTGAAGTTTGTGATAGCTGCTTTGCAGGAGTGAAATTCGGTAATTAAAAGATTAATGGAATTTGTGTAATGTCAAGGAGCTGCTAAACATTTTCTGCTCTGTGTGAGGTTTGTTTGGTGGATGTCTTTTCTGACCAACTGTAGGGAGTTTCTGCTACTGAAAAAGATTACCAAAACAATAGGGAAAAAAAATTCCATTGCTATTTGCACACTCTGGCCTGTTCCTTTATTGTCAAAGTAAGTTCACTGCACTCTTTCAAGAACTGCTCCCTTTGGCTTATCAAGCATTATACAAAACATTGTCTTGCTGTTACAGAGTTATGGTGTGTTTGAGAGGCTATGACATATAAAGTATCTTTTTTACCATATGGAGCAGAAGGTTGGTCCATTTTCTGCTAACTTCAAGACTTCCAGTTGTCTCTTCAAGGAGAACCCTAGAAATAACCTGCATATCTGATAATTCTTATTTGAGGAGAGGCTGTTTTTTTTGTTAGCTGCTCAAAGCTATACTATTGAAAGTAAAGCTTTCTGCAGTTTGTCAACTGACAAAGTGAATGATGAGATTATTTTTTAACAGATTGGTTTTATGCTTATTGCAGAAGAGCTGAAGGAACACTTGATAGGCGAGCATGCCATTGACAAAATCTTTACTCTGGGGAACTCTGAGTTTCCCATTAGCTGGGACAATGAAGTTAAACTTTGGACATTCCTAGAAGCCAGAGCATCCCTTCTCTTGAAAACCTATAAAACAACTGTGGAGGTAAAATTATCGTTATCATTACATGTAATTTAAATGTCTGAAATGTTCTGTGTTATGATTGTAGGAAAAGACATTTTGTCCCCCATCTTGTCTTTACAAACTTCAGTCTGAATGTTAGCACGTAATTAATTCTGTCCTTTTTAAACTGTAGAAGCAGATTTGCATTATCTAAGGAAAATCAAATAAGATTGCAAAAAAGAAAATTTTGTTAATGTAATTTTGTTAATGTATTTTCTTCTTTGATTCTCCAAATAGAGGCTACCTGCTCTTTCTCTGCAAGTAAAATGGGGAATCAGTTTCAACTTGTCATCTGTTAGACCGCAGTTCTCCAGACTGCAAAGAAATGTGCTACTATTGCAAGCATATAAGTGAACCTAGATGTTTCATGTATTTGTGCAGTATCCTGACTTTGCTTGTTGTGCAGGCTGATCTGTGTGAAGAAATCTGGGGCTTCTTTATAACTTCTTGACAAAATTCACTGGGACTCCACGCAGACGCCCTCGTTCATACATATGTCCATTGGCTCAGCCTAGAGAACTTAGTGTCACTTACTGTTAACTCAGAGAAAAGTTGAGTGATTTTTTTTTTAATGTGTTGCTTGTTATTAACAAACTTGCTTTTTCTTTTCTAACAGGATGATAGGTCCTTCTTGGAGACCCATGACCTTACTTCACATGCGATAATGGCCATCAAGTTGCGCTTAGGTGAAAAAGAGATCTTGGAGAAAGCAGTGAAGAGTGCAGCTGCTAGCCGAGAGTATTATACCAAACAAATGGCAGAAGGAGCTCTGCTTCCCAAATATGAAGAGAGCAATATTGCCTTGTTGGAGAACACTGTGGCAGACTCTAGACTCCCTATTGTCTTGAGAAACCTAGAAGATGTGGAAGAGCAAGAGGACTTAAAGATTGATGAAGCTATTAATGCTGAAGTCACAGAGAATGGGTTTGTAAATGGTGAAAACTCTCTATTTAATGGGACCAAATCAGAAAGCGAAAATCTAAATAAAGAGAAAAGCAACAGAGAGACTGAAGATGCCAAAGAATCTTCTTCAGAAAGTACTGATGAGGTTAAAGAATAGTCCTAATATTTTACTTTCGTGTGAAATTAAATTAGCTGAAGTTTATGAACAGTGCATTTATGTTGGTGTGTTTCTTTGTTAACATTTCTCTTTCTGCAGAGAAAAATGGTTTTGCTGCTTTATATAAAAATGAATTTTTAAGTTATTTAAAAGATTTAGCATCCCTTTTCAATTAAGATTGCCATCTTGCTTTCAGGCAAAAACTGGGGAAAGAGGTGCCTTTGGAAGATTTTGCAGCCCTTTGTTGAACCAAATGTATTTTCTTCCTGGGGAAGAATTAAGCTCTTCTATCTGCTGTGCTTTTGTTGTTCTGTCACTCTGACTACCGAAATTAAAAGCTTGCTCTGCCTCCTGCCAAGAAAAGCAGAAGGCAGGACTGACTCGGTATTCAGCATGAAGGTGGGAAAGCAGTACAGCAGAAAGCTGGATAAGAGGATCAGAAACTTGGGAGACTGGAGGAAAACCTGTTTAAAATCAGGTATGCCAGTCCAGAGAAAGGTAAGGTGGCAACCTTATGATTGGTAGTTTTAAATGTTGATGAGAATCCAAATTGTATACACTTAAAGTGATCTCTGAAGATTTCAGTTTACTTTGTTTCTTGTTTACTGTATAAAAATATCTCATCTTTCTTCTTCAGTCAGAGTTAGGCTGCTACAATACAACATTCACCAACTTTTAAAGGCTGACTTCTTTTTACTTCCAGGTGGTACTTTTTATTTACAAGGTTGGCAGTTGCTACTGAAGAGTTTGAAAGCAGATAGGCCAAGCCACGGCTTTAAACTGTACTGTTCAAAGCGAGGTCGCTTCCCAGCTGCTTCACGTTTTCACAGCTAGCTAGAGATTTTCAAAGCTACACTTTTGACTAAACCATTATTAAAAAGGAAAACACGATTAATGTTCCTGTCTGCTACTCCTTCCTTTCTCTGTTGTTGGATGTAACATTGAATGTGACATGGTTGCCGGATCTTACTCAACTTACCTTTTGGTTAAGATATTAATTGATGCTGTTTTCTTGAAGGAAATGGCAGGCAGGCTAATATATCTTTGGCCCAAGTCCAGACCACAGCCAAGTCTACAGTATGCTTTGCCATTTAGATTGCATCTCCATCTGATGCATGTTTCTTGGGATACCTCCACAAGCTAAGCAGGTCTACTGTCTCGAGCAGTTTTGGTCACCCTCATACTATGTTTTGATTTCTAGATGGAAACAATAAAATCATATATTGTGAAATACCAGAACAAGGGTAATTCCAAGGCTTGACTTTGAAATTACTTGAGTACTGGGAGGAGAGGAAGGCGGAATATTTTTATTTTGTGGGTGAATGGAGAGGAGTGTAAAGTGATTTTATTCTGTTCTCAATTTTAAGGACTTTGTCTTTTACCTTTGTGACCTTAAGTTCAAGATAATGCATAGAATGGACAAGCTTGGACAATTGTTAAAAGCTGTTGAAATTGGTAAGGGTTGATGTTGCAACCTGCTCATCCAAGATCAGTTACAGTAAAATGTCTCTTGGCATATTCATGGTTTTATTAGATTTTGCTTCTTTTATACTGCAACTTGGAAATGTGTTTTTGCATAAATCTTTGGTGCAATGCACATGATAAGTAGTGACTTTCGGGTTGTCATAGCAGTTTTGGTGTTCAGCTAGTATCAGTGCGGGGAAAATAGGAAAAAAAATTAGTTTTTTAAAGAATATTTCACTGAGAATGGCACATTGCCATTGCACCTTGGATATTGCTTCACCACTAACAAGATGCTGGACCGGTATTTTTGTAACTATATGCTGCCTTTGGTAGAATGTTATGAATTATTGTCTTGACAGTTTAAATGTCATACAAAAGTCATTACATTAAAGTTTTTATTAGGACCAATATTCCATTTCTGTTTCTGCCACTTACATTGCACAACATTGTACTAGATACTATGATGCAATTCTGAAACTAGCCTTCCCTGAAAACTATAACTGTAATTCAGAATTTAAATGCTTTGATTCAATCTGATACACTGTATTTTGTTCCAGTATTTGCTGATATCTATGGCTTAGCAAAGCCTGTGGTCACCACAGGACAGAATGTGTGGGTTTTCTTGAATAAAATATAGTTCTACCATGTTTACCGTAGTGAGTGTATTCCACAAACAAACCTCTTGCCTGCTAGCGCTGTATCTTTTGGGGTCCGTGGGGAGAGGAATAACTGTCCAGGTACAGATAAAGATTGAAGGAGAAATAGCTGGGGGGAAAAGAAAAAAGAGTGATTCTAGTAAACAGAAAGGGAAAGTGGTCTGTTAAGCGCATGGTCAAATTCTTATCTTCATCTGTTACTGTTATTTAGAAAAATATGTTGCACACAATAAAAATAGTGAGTAATCTAATTTTGCAATTTGCATTTTTCCTCTGTGCATGTAATGGTTTCTCAGAAGCACTAACCTAAAACTTAAGCTTTTGAAAACTGAGGTGAAAACAAAAAAAATTGGCACTGATGAGCCCTTATTACCATCTGTCATGAAAACAGACCTTTCAAAGCATTTTAAAGTTAACTTTCTTCATAATGTTTGGTTAAGAGGCTGTTCACACTAATCCCAGGCTAAATGCCAAATCTTGCTTCTGTTTAGCTAGCTATCTGAAGTATTCCTGTAAGAAAGACATCACTTGGATTTCTCGGACTGTTCTCCAAAAACAAAATGGGAGGGGGAAAAAAAAAACCCTTTTGAATTTTACATAAACCTACCTACTGATGAATCATTTCCCTAACAACCCGTAACTCCTTCAGCTCTATGCTGCAAGATGATGTCCATACAGCCCTGTTGGTAAAGTCAGATACACAAACAACAACCTCCACTCTGAAAAAATGCTTTTAAAGTATATAAATGCAACCTTAGCTGAAGCGCTGTCATGTAACAAACTAGAGCTGAGAGCCTTTTGGCTCTGGAGGTAAGATGATTTAGGATCTTGGCTAAAATAAGTTGTGTTTTAGCATCTTGGCTAAAATAAGTATTCCTTCATTTGGATGTCATTAAAAGGCAGTCTGAACAGAAAATCTATGCAACTCAACAGTAGCTGCATTCTTGTGCCTAGTTTGCCTTTAGAGAGGACTGATCACTATAGTCATGGAACTCGCATGTTTCAAAGGTACACTGGAAGATTTAGGTTGCACAAGCTGTTCTCTAGTTCACATGTTTAGAAAAAGTATTTAGTATCTGCTGCTGCCACTTTTATCACTCTTACTTTATTGAAAGGCATATGAAGTAATTATGAAACGTACTTAGAAGTGTTTCAGTCTGACACAAAAAGGTGCTCCCAAAATCTATTGTTTTTTTCTGATTTTATGGACTGAAATCCAGTCCTTGCTATTTCTCATACTCTATGCCAAACAGGAGTGTTCAGAAAAAAACATTGCTCTTTCAAATTTATCTGGTGAAGCAGCACCCATTCCTTTTTCTCTAGAAGCTTTTTAGCTGATCCTTGAAGTCAAATATGACCCATGGTTTTCACATAATTACCATCTATATTTAATAGTTTCTAACATACGTCCTTCTCTGAGTGCACTGCTTGCTGTATGAACTATAGCACAGAAATTGGTGACTCATGGTTAGAAGAGCTTCCTTAGCCTTTCTCGGTTTCTACATCTACTTCCTAACAAATGCTACAAGTTTGGAAACTAGGTGGAGGATTTTTCAGTTAATACTAAAAAAAATCAGTTCATACTTAAGAAAAAAGCCACAAATGGTCCTGGGTTCCTGGGGGTTTGTGTCTCCCTAGGTTCAGTGCTGTATTCGGTGTATTTCAAGACTGAATGAAAGACTGCTATAGATGCTATAGAGTTAGTGTACCTGACATGAACTTGAGCTTCAGTAACATAAATTAAATCTATAATAATTTATTTGGTGAAAAACACAAATTGAAATTTTGCCAAATGCCAAAGCACGCACCATGCAGTACCAAGCAGAAACCAGAACACCCCCTGTTTAACATTTTTTGGTAGCCTTTTGCTGAATATGGAGTGCTCTAGTACTGATACTCATGGGTTATCAGTTAACAGGCTTTGAAATATGCTTGAATAAGCTGGTTTGTGTAGCGGCATACATTGGGTGGTATATGGTGCTCATGTATTTCTAACATGATTTTTGCCTATTATTAGTCTCAATGATATTTTCAATGTACGTAGACATCAAACTTCACTTACAAATTAAATAATATCTTTTTTAATCCACATTGGTAGCAGCATGAACTGAACCAAGCCGTTTACAAAAGCAATCAAGTTGGTTGTCAGTGTTAGTGTTGCCCAGAAAGTGTTGTACAGTCTGTACTGGAGGAGTTGGAAACCAGAAAGCATTTGACTTTTGCCTTTGTCTCTCCTGCTAGAAAGCCATACCAGCTGGAGCTGGTGCCTGTTTTCATCATGAAAGATTAAGTTAGATAGGGGAGGAAAGCAAGGAGGTGTTTTTCCTTAAGTGGAAAATAAAAGCTGGACAACTGTACACTAGCTGGCTTCTCTTGGATGCAGGGGTTGCTATCCAAATAATAAGAAATGTAGGAATCATTTCAGCGTGTGTTCAAAAAGAGAGTATCTCCAATTTGTACTGTAATTACTGTGGATTTTTAATCTCTCAATTAGATAAATGCTTCACTTTCCCTAGGAACAGGTGAAAACATATGAATTACAAACTGTTGTAATGAGTTAAACTGGCAGTGAGGAGCAGATGTAAGTGGCTGTTTGCCTTGTCAGCAAAGTGTTGAGGGCAGCCCAAGTGCAGTCTGGGTTGGAGCTGCTGTTGCCCATTAACTTGCTCCTTTGCCATTGTGGGAGAAACTACTCAGCACTGAGGGGTAAGGAGAGGCTTTGTGAATCCAGCATGTATGTGGACAAAGCCACAGAGAGCAATATGAAAATAGATGTAGTGTTGTATTCAGGACCCTCACCTGAAACGTAGTATGTCTGATTTAGGGACCTTTGTAATACTTTTGTGTATAAGACATTATTATGTAAAGCTGATCAAGCACAGAAGAGGCTTTTGAACCCGAGCCTTCCATCTTAATGTCACGATT